ATCACCGAATAAAAGCTTGCCCATTTATAACAATCTTTTTTGATTGGATGCTGTTGAGCTGAGACGGCGTAACTTCACGACTGATATTTAAAGCTCGTTGCCACCAAAATGCTCATTGCTATGCAATTTCAGTCAAGTGATTTAAACGATGGTAATTATTTTAATTAATACTGTTTCTTTTATTATGTTCTAATCTACGATCATAAATCTATTCACTTCCAAAATTTAGGGGGTTCGACGGAACCCCCCCCCCCCCAAACTACGGGTCTGTAAACTGGTCACCAAATTTAACAACTGTTTCTGCACAATTTGTATCATGTAGTACAGTGATGTCAACAAGCCCATGAGAGTTGTCATATTGCACAATTTGTATCATATAGTACAGTGATGTCAATAAGCCTATGGGAGTTGTCATATTGCACAATTTGAATCATAAAGTACAGTGATGCCAACAAGGTGTCATACTGCAGATCCAGTTTTTAAAAACGCTGTAGTTCATAACATGTGATATGTACGATTTAGATCTAGGTTTATTTTAGACGTAAAATATCGAAAAAAATTTACTCAATTATAGACCCACAGCACGGGTAAGTGCAGGATATTGTGTCACGGTAAGAGGTGCGCCTTTACTGAACGTCATTTGTCACATTGCATTATGGTATGTATAGGGCATTCTATGATCCACCACTGTGCGACTAAACCGACAGATAGTAATGAAATGAGATATAAAATTTGCCCTATGGTAGACAATTCGTTTGAGTTAATTTTACTTGGTCTTGTTTTTGCAGGGTACCATGACTTTCTGCAGGTGTATGAGATGACCATCATCTTCTTCGCGGCGCATGCGTTCTACAGACAAGAGAAAGGCAACGTTGATAACGTGGTAAAGCTGAGCTACAGCAAGCAAGGCGACACTGAAGCAACGATACACGTCAGCATGCGAGACGCTCGTGCTTTTCACGGCAATATTGGCTCCATCGAAAAGGCGTTTTCATTGACGGTCACGGATGACGAGTACGATAATCCCGTCGATGTAGCTGATGTACCAGCAGATAACCAGACCGCGGACTTGTCACCGATAGCCATACTGAACCCAATGCAAGTAGAATCTGGTACTAATATGAAGTCTTCCGAGAAAGATACCGGTGTCACACACAGACACTCCGCACCAAATGGAAGCATGTATGATGCTTAAACTATCTTTTTGTGACACTGACTTGTTGTACACGCTGTAAAAATGGGAATACGTCGAACCACTTTTTTCATTATACAAACTTGAATGAAATATAAATATAGAAAAAAATGCTAAAATTGCTCAGTATGTTTTCCCTACAAAGCTAAATGGAGGTCAATCTTACATCAATTAAATTCCATTACCACTACCACATATACAAGCATACGTCCGAAAACAGAGAAAATTCAAAACAAAAACAAAATAAAAATTATTCTATAAAGTTATCTCATTGAATCATTAATAATGTCGCCAGTTAAAAACTTGTTTTCATGATAAATGACATTTCAAAACAAGTAACTTGGTGAGTATCTGGATAGTTATTATTTTAATATAAGTTTTGTTGTTAAAAGCAAAACAAATAAGTCACGTAAAATCGTGTCAGCGTGAATTAAACTTAAATAACACAATATATTATACCATTTTACCAAATGGTATGTGATTCACTGGATAATTACATTCCATCACACATTAGTGCCATAAAAGGCAATTATGTGTTTTAGTTAACCCGTCTAAACACTAGTCTATGTAGTAAATCGATATTTATATACTTTGACTAAACTAACATTGTTCTATTGCTTAGTACAAAAGGTTTCATAAAACTTGTATTTGACCCGTATGAACGAATGGTTCTGCTACGGGCATGTACTCAGTCGTTTCTATCCAGAGTACTGTGTCCTATGGCACCCTATTATTAATTTTAGTTAAGTATAGGGTAAACCATTTTTTATCGGTGATGGAGATGGTTAAATCATTTTGTTTTCTTGTTCATCTTCAAAGTTAAACCCACATTCTCTTTATGTGGGTTGCTGAATTTTCTTCCTATTTTTTTCTTTGCCGATTTGCGACTTTCTATTATTATAATCTACCTTTTATTGAGTCTTTTTGAATCATTTTTTATAGCGTATCTTGAAAAAAAATGTTGGTGTAATTTATTGCAAAACTTTGTTTTGTCAACTAATTATAAAATGCAATATTAGTTCGACTAGAAACGAAAATATGCGCACTAGATAATTATGTTTTTTGCCAATACAACATTTTTGTTCAACGATGAATCATTCTTATATTGTTTATATCCAAATAAAATATCAAACAACTTTCTCACCAACAATTTTTCTGCACTTTTTTATTATTCAATATTTCTGGAAATAAACCCTAATTTGGGGGCCAACAGACACAATTTGGGTCAATTTTCAGGGTTTTTTTTTACTCAAAAATTAAATGCAGACTACTATAAACGGGACTTTTTTTGTTAATTTGTGGTGTAAAGATGGAACTGGTGGTGAAAAGGTTAAATAAACCAAACCATTGTTCAAGTTATTCACATGAAATATAAGAATGGATCGCATGAACTATTATAATATTGATCACCAACTTACCCAACTTAGTAAAGCGTTGTATATAAGTTTACCTATAACGGTGACGTTTAAAAACATGCTTACTACATGTTCTCAATAGCGTAATAGTTATATTGTTTGTCATTTGTCATTTTAACTTTTGAAACACTGATAATAAATGATAACCACCCCAGTAACTTTTTTAGCAAATAGAAACTAAATTCATGTTATTTTATAAACTATAATGCGAAACCGTTGGTTGAACTGTTTTACAAAACAAGTCACATATTTAAATAGTAAATCTTAAAACCTAGCGAGTGATTGCTGTGCCACCAAATTCAATATCGCTGGCGCTGTTATTTTGATTTTCTTATAAAAAGAAAATATTAAGCATGAACGAACAAGGTTTTGATATATTTTATTCGTACCTAGCTTTAATAGTAGCCGTAAACCGTAAATCGTCAGAATGGGGGTAAGCGAAACAATGTACATCAAATAGATAATAATGATGGAATGTGAAGTCCTTCATCGCTAAGAATATAACAAACCTCTTCACAAAAATAGTAATTATTATTAGCGGTTACCATAGATCAAAAAATATCGAAGATGTATAACGTCCCCTACATTCATTTACGTCATAAGCTCGTAGTCGTTAGAGGGCGCTTTTTATTGGAAATATATATAGACAATAATAATATGTTCCAGGTGTTAGCTACACTAATATTGTAGCTGGAATTTAGCCACAGTCCCTCTACGACAGTGCTTTGGCGAACTGACTTACCAGTAATGGTTAAAAGTTTCCCATATTCGTCTTGTGAGGGCAGTGTGTTGTAAAGGTTTTGTATAATACTATCAGCCCACGTGAGAAATCACGAGTCATATTCTGGTTCCTGACCTTTGATACGTGCGTTTATTGGCATGTAAAGGCCAGGTGATGTATGTAAAACAATGCTTTCGACGTCTTATGTTTTGTAAAAAAAAATAGACGAATTGGATAAGATGAACAAGACATGACGTCACAAGCTTGCGACCTTTATACTATCTGTGTTCCTTGTGCGTTGAATTTCAGAGGCTGAAAGTAAGTGTAATTCATAATTAATCGATTGGTTAATCATGTACCATGTGTTATTTGTTTATTACCGTGGATATGTCAAGTTCATGTTGTTGATATCGACATTATCGTGTTACTATCATGATCCAGTCTGCATAAGCGTCAGAGATGCAATAAACACAGTGACAATAAAATAGTAACGTCCATTTCTAGGACTTTTAATTCACAATCATCGCATATTTGGTAGCCATGGCCAAATACAGGAACTGTACATGTAGTGAAGATGCTCCTTATTCCAAGGACTTGTTCGCACGTAAGTAAACTTCATAAATGGAGTGATTTGATAATATATATAGTAATAAATTAGTTCTCGAACATAGCCTGAGCCATGTGTACATGTAATCCCCCCCCCCTCACAACTATCTTAATTCATTTCCTTGCACTTTTGTTTTAATTATCAAAGTTTGAGGGATTAAACAGAAAGTACACTGTTATGTTTGTTATTTCTTTTCTCCAGTAATGGACCCCGGCCATTTTGTAGCCATTGGTCTAGTTTTTCTCATCGCATTGATAACACTCGTTATGTTCATCGAGGCAGTTGTCTGGCTTGTAAAAAACATACCATATACACAAAGGAGACTGAGAATCATATGGAATCTAGGAATATATCCGGTAAGCTCATACAATAAATACATTTTATAAATCCGTAAAAGTACATGCAAGTAATTCATCCATGGAGAAATTCTGTGGTAATGGCTATGTTATTATTATTATTTCACCAGACAGCAAACACTGGTGTACATCGTGCATGTCCGTGTTCAATTTTCGCTGTACACGCACACGGACAATGTACACCAGTATTTACCTAGTAAATATGATTTATAGAGGTATTTGATAACAGGGATATTCCATTCTGTAAATAGGTGGCGAACGCCATTGACAATGAGGAGAATAGTCAGGAGGTAAACAGAAGACAAACTGTAAATATTTTATACACCCGTCTGACGTCACGGTAAAAATGACATAGATGAAAATAATGCAAACGAGGACTATGTTTGGCCGTGTAGTCCATCGTTATTAGAAATATAGCAAATCTGAAAATCAGTATTTTTATTGACGAACCAACCTTGATTAAAACAACATCGACGATGTGGTTCGGTATGTCCCTTACATTCATTTACGTCACATAAGCGCTTATAGATCCTATAGATGAGGCACTTCATATACAGTTTCATCTTTTCGCTTTCTCCTTCGTATCATTAGGTCTTTTGTTTCATCATGCTGATGGCTATTTTGATCCCTAAATCGGCCGTTCTTGCAAACTTAACCGCCGGAGTGTGAGTACAAGACATTTTGATTGATTGATTGATTGATTGATTTATTTATTTATTTATTTATTTATTTATTTATTTATTTATTTATTTATTTATTTATTTATTTATTTATTTATTTATTTATTTATTTATTTATTTATTTATTGATTCATTCATTTATTTATTTACTTCAACGTAGCTATTTATCGATGGCGATCTACCAGTTCTTATTGCTAATATTAGATTATTGTGACGGTCGAAATACTATGATAGAAAAAATGCAGCACACTCAGCTGAAATTAGCCAGCTCTCCAGTAGCGTGTTGCTGCATTTGTCTGCCGAAGATCGAAGTAACAAGGTTAGTTCGTACTAGTTGCATGATTTAGATTGGCTATTCTATGAATATACTAGCAGCTTGAACTCTCAGTATGATGTACATCCCCTAATCCAGTTCTTGGTACGTTAATTGCAAATATAGTAGTAGTATTGTTTATTAAAGTGACGTGTGACAATAAGAAAATATTCAGTAAATACATAGCGTGAAAATAAAAACCTGTCACCACCATAAATCGGAGATATATGGCGGACCATTGTTTTCTTGCTTGGTTGGAGCACTAATTGCACATCCCTCGTGTTACGGGAACTTGTAACTATTTACTCAATTTATTTATTTTCTGACGGTTGAAATAAAGTACAAATAAATAAATATTGCTCATTTCATGTGTGCTCCCATCGTCTCAAACCAGACGCAGTGTGTTCTGGATACGTATGGGTGTTATGCAGCTCTGCATCGTGAGCCCGGTCGTACTGTATATCGCAGCAGTAATGTGGACCGACGGTAACTACACGGAGGGTAAAGTAAGTATGAGCACGGTAGTAACCGTGGTATGAGTGACGATATATTGATATCGCCTTAATTTTGTGTTATAAACATTAATAACTCCATGGTTATATTATTGCAACTTTCTGATTTGTCTCTAGCAACTTATTGTGTTGTCTTCTTCAGATTGCGCTAGACGAGTCTTCTATTTATCTGAACACTTTTAATGTGGTGTCTACCTTGACCGCGATGTACGCCCTAGGGATGCTGAATAACTGCGCTAAGCAGATTTTACATGGTTTCTACCTTAGGCCTAAGTTTGCTTGTATTCAGCTGAGCTTGCTTGTCGCCAACGTGCAACCCACGGTGTTCAGTATACTAGGTTCTGCGGGAGCCATTACATGTACGCAACACTTATCAGCGCAAACAAGGGCCATTTGTAAGTACATTGTTACGTCATCGTCTTTCTACACCTTCTCACCCCTCCTCTTTTTTTCTTTTTTTTATATTTATTTTATCTTTTTTAAATAAAATATATACAAACACAATATAATTCTAGAAAATGCGAAAAAAGACATACATATAAATGTACTAGAAAGTATGCATAAGAACCAGGGTCTTTCAAATGTTAATATTAAATACCAATACATTTCTTGAATCTATAGAAGTACCTGTTTTTCATTATATTCCTATAAGTCCAGGTATTTCAAATAATTACCCCCACTTCTTTCTCCTCTCATTCCATTTTATCCGCTATGACCTTCCTCTCTCCTTCCTCTCAGCCCCTCTCTTCGGACTTGTACTATGGCGCTGCATTGAGCTCGTTGTGAGAAACTGATTAAAATGTCCTTACCTATACTAACACATTCGGAGCTAAGTAACACATTTGTCAATGATGTGTGCTGATTTTCCATGAAATTTGAACTAAGAACCCGTAATTTTAATATATGTAAAAATAAAGACATTACATTGTTCTTCCATCCTTTCCCGCAGGGATCAACGACTATCTCGTTATCTGTGAGATGTTTCTACTGTTTCTGGTCGCACACCATTACTACAGACGTGAAAAGGGCAACATGGATACGTATCGCCGATTTCGAGTCGAGAGTTTCCGAACAGATTATTCAACTATATGAAGGGCCCATCGAACGATTTGGCCACAATCCACTTCGTTCGAAAATATTAATATTAAGTGTACACTGTAGTTTCCTGCATACTATACTCGGGAATTCGAGTTACGCCCAATCTCGAATTATACTTTTTTGACCCGACTCTACTAACCCACTTTTGACCCGATGACAAATCATTTGTAACTCAAAAATAATTAAGACCATCATATTGCGACTTCGATTTAGTAAGTCGAATTATTTGTTTAAATCTGTCACATTGAATTCAACAAAATCATCGCCGTAATCATACTGAGTCCACCGCTACACATTAACAGTTTGTGGACCCTGGCCACCATGATTTCTCGAGGAACGTCAATCATACGGGAAATTACAAATTATTTTTTGCCAATTGTGGATCACAGAGGTGAAGGCGATTCAGCGTACGTGCTTTCATTTTGTGTGTACGCTGCACAGAGATATTGGTTAATAAATTAAAGCACTTGGACTAAAACACCAGAATAATAACATTACACAGCTCAGTGGCGTTAAATATTTCCTAACTCGAAGTCGCGAAATCGTCTTCACAAATTTCGGGTTAAAAGTTTTTAATGGTAAAAGTTGGCATGGCCGGGTCAACTGAAGTATACCTCGACCCTGAAAGTGGGCGTTGCCTGTAACTCGAAGTCCTCACTTAATCATTAGCTGAAATTGTTTGCATGTTACTCTAATATTGAACATGACCGCGTGAAATCCGGGGGGGGGGTAGAAAATCACGGAATTGGTCTGAAATATATAAAAAGATTCAAAATATAACTTGAACTTTAAGCCGTTGAAGATAGATAACAGAGTTTAAAGTACATATTGATAACATTTTGATATTGTATTTTGTATCAAATAAATAAATACGACTGCATATATGTTTTTATCTACCCGGGTAGGTCGTTGAGCGTATTGGTATATTCAAGCGACGATAGCACGGGTTGTGCGCACTAGCTATACGCACCAAACACTCCCATAATGTGAGCAATAGAGAGTTTCACCTTTGACCTCTTGAAAGGCAAACACACTCGTGATGTATATCTGTTGTTTGTTGGCGTATTTAGGCCGTGTTTTATGAATCCCCTTTATGACCAATTACGAGTGGAGCTGTGGGTGTACTTTCAATATGTATGCAATATTATCAGCAAAGCTACGCAATCTGGCTTCATTATTCTAATTATTTGGCGTAATCATATGATAAGATAGGTCTACATCTTGGAGTTCACGACGTTAGACCCCAGGTGTATCGTCTGAAGCAAGGTGCGTTGCACTGTATATTTCCATATACATATCGATATCTATCACAGTGGAGAAGAGACTAGGATCATATAAAGACGTGGCAGCGTTCTGTGTATCACGACTGTTCTGCTGAACTGAGGATTTGCGCTGCTGAGTGGTGTTATTGTTTTGGTTAAGGAGCCTGAGGAAAGGTCACTGACCCAAGGTATTAATATGAATTACAGTGTCTATACACAACCAACGTAATGTTTCGCGAGATCGTTCTGTCGCAGGGGAACTGTGCACCCCCAACGCATATTCATATCTGCATAGACATACAGTCTACAGGAAACCACAGATTGAACCGTGTTTCTATTATTTTACACTTTGCGTCAGTTAATAACTGAATATTCAGTAGTGAAGCACGCGCCATTCATTGCATTTTTTTTTATAAATATAGGCCAAGATGTCCACCGTGGACGAATCCAACTGTAGTCTAGTGCCGTTATCAGTTAAAGATCTTGTACAAGGTAAAATAAGTCGTTGTTGTTGTTGTTGTTGTTTTGTCAGTTTGTGGTCACGTCATTCGGGTCAAGGTGTAAAATCACTGAAATGTATAAGTTTTATCAACATCGACGAACAATAAAAACATGAATAATAACGAATCGGGTTAAAATCGAATGCCGAATACCCTGAATAATTACCAGTCACTCTGCACGCCGTGGAGTGAAAGCAAACACGTCGTCGGATGTCTGAACCCTTTCACTCCACATCAAATGGCGATCGGAAATTTGACACAAGCCCCCTGCCAGTGGAATTGTCTCTTACTATATTATAGTTGTGCTCAAATTCATCATACATACTAATTGTCGTTGTTTCTCACAGATATGACACCTTATGGTTTGGCCATCTTAGTTATCGAATCTCTCATTGTCCTGGTCAGCTTAATTATATATTTCGAGGCTTATTTCTTTATAAAGACGATCTTAGCGAGAGAGCCAACAGGAAGAAAAAGTGTGTTTGTCTTAGGACTATATCCGGTTAGTAAATGGGACGAGTGTCCGAGGCTGGTGTCGAGTTTCTCTGATTATAATGTGCCAAGTTAAATTATCATTTCTCGAAACAATATGGCCGCAACGAACCCTCAGAGTTGCTTACCCCGGGTTATGTGCCACAATATCATCATTTATCGCCATATGCGCGTACATTTATAAGTTTAATACATCAGTGGCTCCCGGGTATGGTCCAAATATTGGAAGTATTGTAATTGTCCTGAAAAATGTAATTCTTGTATCTTATTTAGGGCACCTATCCTATCGCGCCTTCCACTGTTGTCATGTGTCTGGCGTGTCGTCGTAACAGTACGCTCGTGGTAAACCAAATATTGCACTTTACTTTTCATGTAACTTTAATTAAAGCGGGAGGGTCGTCACCTGCGCACGCGCGGGAATTGAGTCCCAAGCGATGATAACAACACACGCTAAAAACGCAAAGGCTCATGGGTAGATGCTTGTTTGTAAACAATGACACGCTATGGCCATCTGACGCATGCGCAGGTGACGACTCCCCTCGCTTTAAAAGTATCTAATGTATACTGTGTTTATGCTCTTGATAGGTTTTCATCACACTGTCTTATATGTCTGTTCTGATTCCGAGAACTTCCACGGTTACCATGCCTGCTGCATCCATGTGAGTATTGAACTATATATACGCGGCGTGAGTTCCGAACTTCATCACTAAATTGGATGTTTGTGTTCTGCCCTCACAACGAAAAATGAGTGCATGACGTTTTGT